CCGGCTGTGCCAGGGAGCGTCCCTGACACAGTCTCTCCCGATCTCAGTCAGGAGTTCCACCTGCCGAAGAATTTCTTTGCTTTCTTCTTTGCAGGTCCGGCACTATGCTTAGCTTTCTTCCTGACCTTGTGTTCCTTGATCTCGTTGAAGAGCTCCTCACTTCCTCTCAAAAGCTCGTCCATGACAAACCATTGAAAATGATTCTCTCCAACTAGCTCTCTCCTCTGAGGCTCAAAAGCACTGAAGTCCTCGTTTGTCAATGCATCCGCCAGCTCATTGCCGTCCCTCCTAACCCAGGTCAGAGTCGCATAAGCATCATACCTTCTAAGCGTCTCTGCAACCTCAATCACTAGCAATGTAACCGGAAACTTGGTTGACAACCCCTTGCGAAGAATGAAGGAGTTGCCACGGTCGTCTGTAAATGCCTCCACGTATATCTCAGCAGACGCACCTCCACCCTTCAGCCAAAGCCTAAGGGCAACAAGCGTAGCAAGCAACTCCAGCGCAGCTATGACCCTCTTTGGGTTCTTTCCCCGGAAAAACAGCCAGGGTGCAAAGCTCTCCGTGACCTTGAACGAAAACCATCTGCAAGCCTTGCTGTCGGATGACTCCTCAAGCCAGCCTCCAATCCAAGCAGCATGTTCCGTCGCCTTGGCATCTGTCCAGATCCTCAGCGCACCGCCACCCTGGAACACTGGTCGCTTGACTGCCTCCATGCGGCCACCTTCTTTGAGCCTCTTTGCAATCCAACTCAAAATGAACTGTATTGCCCAAGGGATGGTCAATGCACCCCGGTTTGACTGTATCGCTGACGCCCAGGCGTACAACGGGCCCAACAATGGCCTCTCCCACGGAAGTGCAAGAGCGGAAAAACCAAGACGCCCCAAACCTGCAGCGAACTCCCTGTAGGTGACTTCTTTCCGCAGCCTCAGCGACCAGCACCCATTCGGTCCTCTTGACAGACAACCCCATTGCAAAGATGCGGTAGTCGGTGGTCAAGCCAATCCACTCCGTTGTCAAACCACCCCTTTGCTTCGCCCATTTGAACGGGGCTCCAAGTGCTGCCATCAGCGCATAGGCAAGGACACCTCCGACTCGCCCTTCACGTCCAACTGTCAACACCTCCAGGTCGTCTGCATACAACAACATGTCATTCGGGAAACCCTCCCCGAGGACCCAATACACTAGCCGCATCAGAGCCGCACTCAGCCGCGCCCACCAGTACGGAGTTGAAGCTATCCCAAAAGTCCCAACTTTGTTCACATAGACAGTGTTCGAACTTGAGGACGCCTTGCGTGCCAAGAAGCCCTGCTCCTCCACTGCATACTTGAAGCGCCTGTGCGCCTTAGCGAAGTCTCCCGCAAGGGACAGCACTGTCTTCTGCTCCGCCTCATACTCCTCGAGCAGGGCCCGCTTCTCTCGAGGCCCCGGCATCCTGACCTTGTCTCTGCAGCGGATCTTGTGATTCACCATGACACCATGCGTGCCGTCATGTATCACCCGCTTCTTGCCCGTCACCTCATCCTCAACCAAGACTGCTAGTGCCGCTACAGCCCGGTCCTCACCATATGTAGCAACAAAGGCCTCCTCGCCCATCTTGGTCATCAGACCCTCCGCAACTTCCTGCTCCAGGTGCTCTGTGAGGTATTTCTCATGCTCTGCCGCTGACACATAGTTCTCCTTCTGCCAGACAGCACTGCTCCAATCCTCACTCTCCAGGTTCCAACGAAGCTGCTCCTCTGGCGTACGAGGCAACTGATTCAAGATGCCCAGTGGCAAACCCACCTTAGCCTGCTCCAAGAAGGCCCAGTCAAGATCACCTGCCTTCTCCAACCCCCCTCTCATAAGGTCCAGGAAAAATGGCTGGCCCTCCTCCGGACAATGTTGCATTGCAATGCCCAAATCATCTGCCAGGAGGCACCGAATCTTCGCTAGGAACTCCTAATCTCGAACCAAGCTGAATGCATTGCCACCTTTTGCCATCCTGAATGCCTCCTTCTCGACCTCCGACAAGCTTCCCAACTTCCGGACCGCCTCCTGCCGTAGTTGAAGCCTCAACTTGACCCACTCCTCGCCTTGCAAGAGTTTCCTCTCGCTCGAAGCCCACCTCCCCGGAGAAGCCAGCCCGCCTCCATCATGGAAGGGAGCCTCCAATCCTTTCCACCTACACGACCGAGGTGGACCTCTACCGCCGGCAACGATCGGGTTCATGGGGTCTACCTCCACCTTCTCCTGCGGCACGTTGCGACGTTTCTCCGCAGGCCCCGGATCATCTGCCGGTTTCCTCTTCTTCTGCACCTCTGAGCCTCTGCAAAATTCACCCCCCCCTGAACACTCTTGAAGAAAGGAGGTGAGAATCGCGTCCGCGGTCCATTTGCAGAGTGCTGATGGCCAAGCTGCTGAATGCGCTGTCTTGAACACCCCATCTTCCTTGCCAATCAGAGGGGCGCCCCCTGGTTGTTTCGGCAAGGGTCCTGCGTACCAGCCTTCTGCATCAAACTGTGGTGGTCCTGCGTGCATTGCTGGATGCAATGGGGCAAAGATCCTCATCAAAAACCTTGTAGGTTTCGGTGAAGCTGTACCAAACTGCGACTGAGCAAAGACAACTGTTTCAACACCATCCAATGCTAAAAGCTCCTGGAACTGCCAAAACTGCCACATTGATGCCGGTTGATGGCCTGCAATCCTTGCATTGTTTGTCCTGCCCAGATCCTCAGGTTGCTCCATGAGCCCCACTGAATACCTATTGCATGCAAACTGGCGTTTCAATGCTTCAAACGAGAAATCAGCCAAGATTGTACCAAATTCTGCCTTGTGAAAACGCTCCCCCTTGTTCCATGGAAAACCTCTCGGGTAGGACGAGCTCCTCAGTGGGAAAGGTCCCAAATCATTTGCCCACACAGCCCTTGAAAAAGTAGAACAGGGTGGAGTAACAATGACTGCATAGAAGATACCTTTGGCAATCAACTGCAACCATTTCTTCTGTACTGAAGGTATTGTGAAATCCGACTTGCGATCGGACTGGATGTCCAGTTCTGTGATCACCACATGAACACCCTTTCGTTGTGCCAGCCTCCGGAGGAACCCCGCAACCGAATTGCGTCTCTTCCTGCCAGAAAACACGTATAGGACTCGAAGAGTCCTTCACTTGCTCCCTGTTGTGTCCGGAGCCACCGCCTCCTTGCGATTCTTTGGATTGCACTCGTAGAGAGGGTGGCGGTCACTGTAGCAAATCCCGCAGACATGTTTGTATTTGCACTTGCTGCTTTTGCATTTCTCCCCAGGCGTGTTGTACCTGAAGCAAATCATCTCCCCGTCCGGGGTGTGGGTTGCACAATGTGGATTGCTACCTTTGCCCTTGCCCTTCTTGGACTTGCCTTTTTCCTTGCCCTTGCCACCCTTCTCAACTGTTGGCCACTTAGCTTGCGGCTGCTCTCGCCATGGTGGTGTCGGTCTCTTTGCATACAAGGCCAGGGGCGTGGTGAAGTTCCTCTCCTTGATCGTGGCATCCTTCCATGCCATCTTGAGTGAAACTGTAAGTGGTTTGCCCTCCGTGTTCGTGATCTTCACGGCCTGCTTCCTGATTGCTCGTTCATAAGCAATGACAAGTTTCCACGGTGGAGAGGCAAAGGTCTGACCTTCAGCGTCCTTGGCACTCAGGCCAAATACATAGTCCTCCAACAAATAGTCCTTGTATTGCTCAACTGTGTCTTCCCAAGCGCCCTGAAGCTCATGCCTATTGGAATGCTTCAGCGAGATCATAACCATTGCGTTCTTCCAGATCGACAGCCGGCGTCGAAGTTCTTCAGCGTTCGTCGGTTCCTCCACTTTTGTAGAGTAGAGCCTCTACGCATGGCCAATCGGCCCTTGGAGTCCCAAATAGGCACCACAGAATCAGCCTCAATTTCTTCTTTCGACACAACTTCTGTAAGCTCCTCAGCCCGGTATTCACCATGTTCAACTTCAACCAACTTCTTTTCAATGTATTCCTTGGATGGATAAATCTTGTCCTCCAGGTGCCCGTAGCGCTTCTCTAATGCTGAGCGCATAGCCGCCCATTCCCCCGCCACCACCGGCCTCGACCACTGCAGCGTGTCATACTCCGCGTCGACCTCGGCGGCCCGCTGACTCCTCGTCTTGGCATTCGTGAAGGCACAGGTGATCGCTGCCACCTGCACTCTCTCCTCCAAGCTCCTGCTTGCATCCAACTCCCAATGATCCTTGAAGACCAGCGCCAAGTCGTCCCTATCTTTCGCGAAGTTCGACAGCTTCTCTAGTGTCGTGACCCCGTGGTGGAAAAAGAGCTTCTGGTTGTCCAAGCTCACCTCATGCCTAGACAGCAGGTATTTGATATCTGTCCCTGCCGCCTCCAGGGCTTTCGCCCCCTCATCATCCGTGAGCGCCGCGCGCGGCATGACGAGCTCCCGGCCCCCACGCCACGCCCCGCTATTTGAACCGAGCAACCATGCAGCATGCGATGCCGCCCGTGACACGGCGGTGTCAAACGCGCATGCTATGCACCCGTTCAAACACATGCGATGTGACTGAACTACACGGCTCTGAGGTGCGACCCCGCCTCTCCGTCCACTGGCTCTGCCCTTGCACCTGCTGTGCGCCGCCCCAGGACCTGAGCGGCTCGCCCAGTCCGGGTTTTCCTCAACCGCCTACCAGTGTCCGTCCCCAGGTGCGACCTGGGTTTTCCTAGCGCAGTCGCTGCTGCACCCCCCCGCCCCCCAAGCGCGGGTCAGGGGTCCCGGAACCTCCGCCCGTCCATCTGCGCCCCATGCGACCCTTTTAGTCACTGAGACCCAGCTCATCCTGGGAGTCACTTGTGGACTCGCTCAACTGTTCGTCTCCGCCACTCCAACACAATTTGCATCGAAGTGTGTACTCTTCAGGTTCCGGAAGGTCTTGATGCGTCTCTGCCCTTACGAAGAATCTCTTCTTCGCCATCCAGCACCCTTTGCTGCCGAGCCGATGTAGTGTGCCCTGCCCTGCACGTCTGTAGACGACGACGAAGCCACCTTCTCTTTCCTCCTCCAGCGCCTCACTCACCTTGGGCGCCACCCTCCTTCTTGCTCTGCGAGTCTCCATATATTGTGGTATCATCATCAGACACCACCACAGGCTTACCCTTGAGGCCCTTTGCCCCGATCTCCTTCCAGGCCTCCACCACATCGTTCGCCTGATCTTCAGGCACTGTCCACTTCTCATGCAGCCACACCTTCAGCTCTTCCATAATGGCTCCCTCGTCCAGCTCCTCGTATGCAGTCTCACTCCGTAGTACTGCAACTATCTTCTTGTGCATCTTCTTGACGATCGAATTGTATGTCCTGACATATACATCGGAACCTTCAGGGCACCACCTCCCCAGAAGGTCCCTGTCAGACTTCTCAACACCCAAAGCTGCCAGGCCGCTAGGCAATGTCGCTCTTTCGCTATGCTCCGACCAGAATCGCTCCCACCCCGAGGGGATGAGAGGCCCTTTGTAGCCCTCCAGCAGCGAAAGCACTCTGGAGCTCCCAGCGACCGCCTCTGCATAGGAGACATGCGCCGATCCATACGCCGACCCGTAGAAACAACCCTCCGGGAAGACGTAGACACGGTCTCTTGGCATCCGCAACTTAACAAGATCGAAGCCAACTGCCAACCAGTCACCGTGCACCACATATGCATCCCTTGCGATGTATATCGGCAGTTCACGCACCCGCTTCCCAGCGCCTGTCGTCTTCGATTGATGCATCATCCCAATCAACTGGCCATCGTAGTACCTGATTTCGGACGTCTTCAAGTGGGCTGCATCGTCAAACCGCATGGAAGCCCACATCTTTATGAGCTTGAACCATGCACAAACCCGAACCTCGAAGGGGACAGCGCTGTCCACCACCAAGGTCTCCATTGGCGCAATGAAGCACCCCAGCCAACGAGGCGCTCGCCTGACTGGGGGGGGCCTTCTGTTCCAGCTTGCGTGTCAGCTCCTTCATCACCATCTGGGGGAAATACTGGTTCATCAGCTGATCCTCTTCTGCTGCGCCGGCCGTCTTCTCAAACCATGCCACTGCCGAACTCACGGACAACGGAATTGACGGCCCCATGCCTTCCTCCTCCCTGGCGTACATGTAGTCTACCAAGGTCACGCTGTCTGGACGCTTTCCGGGCTTTCCCATTGCGTCTGACCACTCTCTGAACCGCTCCCAGGAAGCCAAGTATCTTCGCACCGTTGACATGCGGTACTTCCCGATGAGCGCTTCCTTCGCTCTGGTAGGGTTCATGGTCTTCTTCATCTCGTCCAGCACCGGTGCTTTGTAACGCACCAATTCATCTACCAGCTTGTCCATGATCTTGTCCGTCACCTCCTCCTCGGCTGCCACGCGGCCACTCCTTAGCCGGACTGTTCTCCCCAAGGTGCCCCTCTTAGGCATCGTCGGGAGAATCACTTGGACATCTGGAGGCTCGAGGGTCCTCTTCTTTTCTTTCTCCATCGCCACCCTGGCATCCAACAAGTTCTGCATGGACCTTGTCGATGATGTCCCTGTCAACCGTTCATCCAGGTCTGCCATTTGTACTGCCTCACGGACTTGACCCATGATGAAGGCAGTGTGCCAGGGCCGATGTTCTAAACCCAGTCGGTCCGTCAACTGCCTTGCCAGCACTTGCTCTGAGCCATGGCTTACGGCTAACATCCCACCGACTAATCCCAACTCGCTCAGGAGGTTGAGGATCCGTGCGGTCTCCTCGGGGTCGGGGGCACAAGTGCCCCCCTTCCATACCTCCGAAGCTGAAAAACACCTATCCTCGAGCCTCCAAGCGGTTGTGTGAAATTCTGTCATGACGTGTCATGAGTGAATATATACACCAAAGCCTAACCCTAACAGCTGTCAACAAGGGGTTCCCTGGTCCACGCGCGCCCCGAACTCCGCCGAGGTCTCCCCTAGTAGCGTCCTTGCTCCTAGTAGCCCCTAGTAGCGTCCTTGCTCCTAGTAGTACGGCCAGGAAGCCCCTAGTAGCATCCTTGATCCTAGTAGTACGGCCAGGAGACCCTAGTAGCGTCCTTGCTCCTAGTAGTACGGCCAGGAGCCCCTAGTAGCGTCCTTGCTCCTAGTAGCGATGCACTTTGCTCCTAGTAGCGTCCTTGCTCCTAGTAGTACGGCCAGGAGCCCCTAGTAACGTCCTTGCTGGCCAGGAGCCCCTAGTAGCGTCCTTGCTCCTAGTAGTACGACCAGGAGCCCCTAGGAGCGTCCTTGCTCCTAGTAGTACGGCCAGGAGCCCCTAGTACCGTCCTTGCTCCTAGTAGTACGGCCGGGAGCCCCTAGTAGCGTCCTTGCTCCTAGTAGTAGGGCCAGGAGCCCCTAGTAACGTCCTTGCTCCTAGTAGCGTCCTTGCTCCTAGTAGTAAGGCCAGGAGCCCCTAGTAGCGAACATTGCTCCTAGTAGCGAAAGGAAGCATCTGGAGAGCTGTGGAACCTGCAGTGTTGAGTAGTTTGATGATGTTTGACGCGTCTGTGAGAAGGAAACCGGGCCCCTTCAACTTTTGTCCACGCTTTATATCCAGCTGCGCTTGTTTCATGCAATGATATGAGCCTATCCGCCCCCATCGGTTTCACACTGACCACTGCTCTTTGCGACTTGTTTGCAGTTGAGCTTCCCACATACTTGACATGCAATGCTCATCAGTTCAAGTCCCCGAATCACCCAACCAGTGCTCAACCGTCGCCGGGCTCCGCCTGTCGCCCTCAGCAACAGCTGGAGCGCTCCTGACGGCCTCACCAAACGGTATGGAATGCAGTGTTCAGCATGATCGCCAAAAAGGGAACCCACGACAATGATTAAGTTTTACTCGGCGTCAATGACCAAGTTTAATTTGGTGTTTGTGAATGCTATCTAGAAGCTTGTTGGGCTACATAAATCGGTGCTTTGTTATTCAGGATGTGATAAAATGTTGGTACTATCAAAGGCGCTGGAATTACGGTAGCGCTGGCACACTTCTGAGCAATTTGAGCCCAGTACAAAGCTTTGAAAGAGGTTCGTGATGCTTGAACTTCTGAACAACTAACTTCCAGGATTGAGGAGAAGGAATTGCATCCCTGCGAAGCGTGAAGTTGGCGTTAAGCTCGCTTGAACAACGAGGTGTTCAAGTAAAATCGTTGTGAAATGTTGTGAAGGAACCCTATATAGATGTGTGTCCAAATCACATCCAAATAATAAGTGTCGTAATCAACAAACATGACGATATGGCTGCACAGTGGAAAACTCTATGCAAAAGGCGTCTGGTGATATGACATGATCATTCAAAGCGATACACCAAGGATGTGAGGGTCCAAGCAATCAACTTTGGGCAGAACTACGTCTGTGAGTGAAATTGTGCGGTTGTTGAAAGACTAAGTTTGACTTCGCCATTGGAAGGCAAAGGATTGGCTATAAGACTGTTTCCGGTGATTTTCATATTATGTTTCTAGCAGGCAACTGTGCCAAGATGTGCCAAGCAATTATATAAAAAACGTACTATGCCTGGTGTCAGAAACCAAACATTGTCCTTGATTCAGAGTTGCAAAAAACAAGTGGATCTGCACAAGAAAAGGAGTCAAACAAGTATTTGCGATTGTAATTTTGAAAAAAATGATGGCTTCCCTGGGGGATCCTGGAGTGAGCATGCAATACGGGCGGACACCCCTTTCTTCGTGCCTTTCGCCTAGATGGGAAGCACCGACACAGAAATTTGTCAGAAAAAACTGTTCAGCTTAAACCACCAGTCGCACAATTTTTACAGCAAGGGCAGGTTGGACATTTGCTGAGCGAAACGATGTCCGTGAGGTGTACTTGTTTCTTTAGCTGGACCTTTCCCAATCAACCGAATGAATGACCGAACAAATGAACCAACCAGGACTCCCTCTGCTGTGGTCCACACTTTGTCGCGGAAAGCCACGCTTGGCCAAAGACTGTTGAGCGCCGTGGCCATAGTAGCCACCTATCGCCGTTGGTGGGACGGGAACACTCGGATATGCTGGATGTACTGCTGGATGTCTATCTTCATGTCATTTCATTGACTTCGCTCAGAATGTTCTTCCCATTTGGCCTCCACCTAAAAGGGTCCAACTGGAAACCATTCGTCGAAACATGGTTCATCCATGAATACGGGACTTTAGAGTTGTCATATGATCTCATTGTCCGCCCCCACAAATGAGACGACGTTTGTGGCACTTGCATGCAGTGTTGTACAAACCAATAAACACATCAAATCTGTGATTGTGTTTGGCACCAATCAGGATGACCGACCGGTGTTTGACGGAAACGTCCTTTCAACTGTTCGCCGTGTGACATGTCATGTGATTTCCATTCCTTTGAACACCGGCTGAGGGTACCAACCGGGTGCTGATCAATGCTAGGGCTCTGGGTGCAAAGAGACCTTTCCCTTGAGCACAAGAGTCCAAAACTTGCACTGACACATAGTTGCAAAGGGGCCCCGGACGCTGAGCCGATTGCCAACTTCGGGGATCAATGATGGTTGCTAGACCCTCAGACCGGGCCTGGTGCCCAGGTGGGCTTTAGAAGTTCACCAGCGCCTGGCCAGGAAACTGCTCAAACATAATCAGGATGGTGACAGAATGCTTACATGTGTTACATATTGAAAAACGAACCAAAAAACAACCATTTCCTATGAAAGAGACGTGACTAATAACGTTTCATGGTCAGTTTTGCAAACAAACCCAAATTGGACTAATGTCAGCCCATGACTGAAGCCTATTAGTTTGACGCGGTTTTTCCGGTTACTAGCCGTCTTTCAAAAATCCTTCTGGTGCATTTTCCAAATGGGCACCCAATAACCCAACTAGCTTGGCCAACCTTTTTTGGCCCAGCTTTGTTGCAATATTAACCTCCTTTTTTTCCAGCTTCTGCTCACCTCCAGTTTTGCCAATTCCTCATCCGTCCCTTTGCAAGTTGGTCAACATCCCTTGTCCGATTAGTTTCCAAAACACAGAACTTGCCTCGGCCTCATTGTTGGCTCCTCCAATTCCTGAGTGCCTTGTCATTCTCAGACAAATCAATCATTATGTGGCAGCCCTGTCATATCCACCTTACACAACAGTTCCTGTATTGTCTTGACAAGATCAAACATCAATCTGGGGTTTTGTGAACGCTATTCTGTTTGAAATCAACATGAATCTTTCAGTAGTTGCTCACTTCTGTTCCAAATTTTCAGCATGTGGGTGTGAAGCTTGTTGATGCATTTTCACAAACAGAAAGAGCGAAAACTTTGCTCAAAGCCTTCCGAGTCTGTGTGACCATGCTTGGTCGCGCACCTTGTCTGCCTCCCTTTCTCTATCACCTTGCCCACACTTCTTTTCTTGTGGGTATCCATCTAGGGCGTGCCAAAAGCGCCTTTAGTTTACATGACGTTCCCAAGCAGCTCAGACATGCGCGAGGTTTAGACCGCCAGAGTTGTCCCAGCTTCATGAAGCTCATGCCAATAAAAAAAAAACTTGATGATTCACCTTGGCCTCCTCACTTGCTTCAAATCCCTCCTGATGCACATGAAGCCTCTCGTCTTTCAAATCCGCTGTGCTCATGCTGGAATGGCATGTCGCGCCCAGTCTCCTCATTCGACACATGCTTGCCATCCTTCTCACATGCTGCCCCACGGTGCTCTTGATATGGCAGGTCATGGTACCACACCTCATGCTCAATGGCCTCCAAGTCTTCACAAAAATACATTCATGTAGTACCACACATGCCTCAAAGCTTCCATTCATATCATGAGCTTCTCCATGCCTCTTTTCCAAGTGCATGCCGCACTTTAGTTAGTCTTGGGGATCCCTCCTCATGAAGAGATGTATAGTCTTTGGGATCTCTCCTCATGAAAAGGCTTACATTATAGTCTTTGAGATCCATCCTCATGATGGACACCCCCAAAAAGAACTATATATATATATAAAGTTGTTTTCCACATTATTCGGTTCCCAGACCTTCTATATAATTAGGGAGGTTATTCATCGTGGGTTGACATTATAGTTCGTGCAATGCCTACAACTCTATTTGTTCCTCTCCGCACACGCAACATGATCAGTTGAAATCAGATGAACTAAGAGACGCACCCCGCATGCCTACCCGCTGTTATTATCTAGTCTTGTTCCTAATCCAAGGGGTGGTTTCAAAAACAAGTCTAAGTGGATTGCAGGGCATCTTTATCAATGGGCTTGTTGAAAGAGAAGAATGATAACTTTTCCGAAAGAAATCTCCAATCAGAAACCCAAAGGTTGCTTGTGATTCGGAAGCAGGATTGCTCTCCAGTGAAATGGACCTTCATAGAATTGAACCTCATGTGATTTCATGTGATTTGTATCATGACTTACGACATGCTACGGGCAGTATGCCCTCAAACATCCCGTTGCACCGTGCACCACAGCTGTTGCTCGATGTGTGGGGCGACCCCCATCGAACCCTGCGTTGCCTGGACGGGCGTGTGGCTTCGCTGCAGGTGGTGACCTCATTGGATCTCAGGTGTACGACCTGGTACAACTCAACACAAAAACTAGACGACGAGTGGCCCGAAAGCATTTTTCATCACGTAGGAAGTCAGAGTGCGAGTTATCTGTTAAGTGTGCGGTGTGAAGTGTTACGTAGGTTTCCTGCTAGTAGCTTAAGGGCAAGAGCACCTAGTAGCGTCCTGCCAGGATCTAGGTAACCGACATAGGTGTGTAGTTGTGTTATTCATGGAAACCCTCCACCAATGGGTCGTGGTCTATTGTCCTTCCAGGGGGGTCAAACGGGGGTCTCCTGGATCCAGGATTCATCAACCGATTCTGACCCAAGTCTTTGGGCAACGGATTCGCCCCGACCGCGCCGAACGCAGACTCCATGACACATATTCGCACCGAGTGGAGTTGCTTCGGCGATCTCGATGTCCTACGTGATGAAACTACTAGGAGGAAGGACGCTACCAGGGGCTCCTGGCCTTACTACTAGTAACAAGAAGGAAAGGGCCCGAAAGCATTTTTCATCACGTAGGAAGTCTGAGTGCGAGTTATCTGTTAGGTGTGCAGTGTGAAGTGTTAAGTCGAGTGAGTTGAGGTAGTGTGTGGGTCTCTGTGTGTGTATCTATGTCCGTGTGTATATGAGTCTCTGTCCTTGTGTGTGTCCGAGTAAGTTGAGGCAGTGCGTGGGTCTCTGTGTGTGATGTGTGTGTGAGAGTCCCTGTCTGTGTGCGTATGTCCATGTCTGCTGCTGGTGAAGGTCTTCTCTGTACATATACTGAACGAATTAGCGCGCAGGCCTCCCAAACCCCCCCACCGGCGGCCACGCGGTGACAGCCCAGCTCATCGTCGCGTACCAAAGTTGTACTACCAAGTCGCCAGTTCTCATCTTCCAGCTCCCCAGCTACTCCGCGTACTAAAGTTATACTACACACTCGCCAGTTCTCAGCTTCCAGCTCCACAGATTGCTCCGCGTACTCAAGTTGTACTAGAAACTCGCCAGTTCTCAGCTTCCAGCTCCACAGCTACTCCGCGTACTAAAGTTGTACTACACAGTCGCCAGTTCTCAGCTTCCAGCTCCACAGATTGCTCCGCGGACTAAAGTTGTAAAACGAAGTCACCAGTTCTCAGCTTCCAGCTCCCCAGCTACTCCGCGTACTACAGTTCTACTATAAAGTCGCCAGTGCTCATCTTCCAGCTCCCCAGATACTCCGCGTACTCAAGTTGTACTACCCACTCGCCAGTTCTCATCTTCCCACTCCCCAGCTACTCCGCGTACTACAGTTGTACTACCACGTCGCCAGTTCTCAGCTTCCAGCTCCCCAGCTACTCCGCGTACTAAAGTTGTACAGGAACCTGACAAAGTCATCCCTCAGTCATCCCTGGTCACTGTTTCAATGCCAAATCACAATGGCAACGCTGTTTCCAAAAAGTCATCCCCCAGTCACCCCCGGGAGCCAACCCCAATGGAACGCTGATACCCAAACAACACTTATCACCCAGAAAGTAAACCCAAAGAGTGCAAAAACCAATGGAACGCTAGTTCCAAAAGAGTGTGGTTTTGATTGATTTACATACGTTTACTGCACACCAGTCCCAATGGAACGCTGTAGAAATAGTTTGTTGACAAAACAGAGCCTGTGGCCACATAACCAGGGTAGGGGCTAAGGATATCTACTGTATGTATATGGGGAATGTTCCAGACAGCTCCTCCACGAAAAGCAAAAGTCTGCGATGCGACGGAATTCATCGGCACTGCGGCGCAACTCTCACGTGCTTCACACTTCGTTCCCGAACAACGCTCTAATGGGAATTGTAGACACAGGAATGACAGTCATTCGACACATGGGAATGACAATCTTTCTATATAGATTTTATGGAAATGACCTGTGCGCCCAAGCTCTCTCCACTTTTTTTTCGTGCAAAATCTGTGCGTGTCAGGTTTTGGGTTTGGGAGGTTTGGCGAACTGGTTGGACCGATTCGAAGACCATGCAGAGAGCCATGCTTTTCTGGCTTGCTTGCTGCCTAGCACATTGGAACTGATCACGTTCATCCGAAATACTTCCCAGAGCGGATGGCCCTTACCAGTCTTCTTCCGCAACTCATTGTCAACATAGAAGGTGGCAATGGGAATGACAGCATCCCTCTCAGCCACAGGGAAGCATGCCACGATGTAACTGATACTGATGCAGCCGTCAGGCTCTTTCAAATCAAACTCCACAGCCTCTTCCACAATCTTTTCTGCACTTGTAGTAGCTCCCTTCCCAGGTGCAGGCAATGGATCTTCCAATGCCTGCTCTTGATGTCCACTATCTGCTTGCCCTTTGTCCTTGCTGCGAAGCTTCTTGAAGAGCTCACCCACCCCAACCGCCAGCTGCTTCTCTGCGGCATTCTCTGCAGCAACTTCAAGCAACTGGGGGGGGCTTCAGCCACCCAGAACGCTTGGCTTTGTAAAGCTCTGCAGTCTTGGACTCATAGTTGCTATTTGCCGCACCGCACTGCCCACAAAACTTCTCAACTACAGACACTTTCGCTTTGCACCCATCAGCAGAGCACGACTTTTTCTGAGGGCTTACTTTCTCTACTATGGACAAAGCAGAGGAAGTTTTGCTTTGTGGAGTGGGTGCGCACCAGGAATCCTTGCAGTGGAACAGTTCTGTAGCTCTTTCATTGAGCACTTTGATGCGCTGAATGCGTTCTCCTGGAGTCCAGCCGCATTGCGCCCAGCCAGCACGTGCTTGTGTCTCACTGAGACCTTCGATGACACAGCGGCGAATCCCTGCCAAAGCATGGTGTATGTTCAAACTTCCATGCTGAAGACGTACGGCATGATGTTGTGTCTGTGGCTCAGTAGAGCCATGGAGACGCTGATGTGTAGGTTTGATCCGCCACCACTGTCAAGGATAAGAATCAATGGAATACTGGTGTCAGGATACCTTTCCCGAGCTGGCTTGATCAGGCACTGCTCCAAGAAAAAGACAAAGGACAACCTGAGCACAAACAGTGTACAAAACACAAGCTGCACATATATATATATATATGAACAGCCCTCTCCCTCCAAGAAAACCTTCCTCTAACCTCATTTCAAGACACGGGCTTTGACTTCCACTCTCTGAGGCGTGGAAAACAGCTTCTGGCCATATGTCAGTGAAATTCTTGTGAACTCTCTTGAAGGGAACAATAACCCCGCATGGAAACGCTGGGCCAACACATGGCAGAAAGCTTGTGACTGTCACGTGCTCAAAAGAAAGCACGGGCGTGGATGCAGCTGCTGTCTGCTTTCCTTTTCTGGTTGTGACTCCTCTGACGATGGCATCTGCCCTGGCCGAAAACCCTTTCTCATCAGTTATGATTAGACGGCCAGCCTCTTTTTCCAGCAGGATGCCATCGCGCATGATTCCAGCGCGGGTGCACATGTCCTCTAAATCAGAAAGCACTGCGGCGACCACCTGTGGAGTGCACGATGTGACCTCATAGCCAGTCTTTAGCTTCAGCTTTGATACCGACAGTTGCTCAGAAGGCGGCTTGGTTTTGCGGCACCATTCCTTCAAATCTCTCCACAAATGATTGTACTTGGGAAGCATTGACTCTATGCGGGATTGCAACTCACCAACAGGAGGCTCATCTCTTAGATGTCCCATCTTCTCCATTTTCATCACCACTATAGCTTTCTCAACCTCTTGGACGCTGAGGGATGAGCCTGTGCACTCATGAAAGCGGATGTAGGTCCACAGGTCTTTTTCAGCAACGGAGAGTGAGCTCTGGGGCGTTCGCCCCATCCGAAAAATAGGCGGGCACTCGAACGGAAGATGCTCTGGAAACATGGTGGCAATTTTGTACCTTAAGGAATTGGGCAATGGGTTTCCCAAAGACAATGGAAGGGCAAGAATTACGATAGAACAAAACCAGAAAGGTTACAAAACCTAGCTTAGTTGCAGCTGCTTCTTGTTGATCTTCAAGGCCTTCAGCTCTGACTCTGCAGTAGCAGGCTTCTGCAATTTTGTGCCAGCGTCTTTGAGCAACAAATGAAGCAAGCCGTACATCTCCCACCGTTTCTGGTCGTGGCCTGCAGGGTGGTGCGAATACTGCTCAAAATCTCGCACCAAATCATCCGTTGTGTAACCCTGGGGCAACTGGATCATTCGGCCCGCATCCGATTCAACTTCCCATGGCAGCAAAGTCTTGTTAGGTTGACACTCAAGCGCGGTAGCGCTGCCAGTGTTAGACAGCTTGGCTTTGACTTCTCGTCGAAACGCGTCCTGCTGTCCATTTGTCATAGCTTTCCACTTTGCAACATAATCAGCTTGCTTCCGTTTCTGGCCACCATCGCGAAATGCACAGATTCGTGCATACCAGTGCTGCTGAGATTCTTTCGCTCGACGTTCCCATCCATGTGGGGGATCTCCTGCGCCAGGCTCTTTACAATCTGTTCCGGCAACGTCGTTTTGCGTAAGCTTGGATGACTCCGACGTAAGAGCAGCATCAGGAGCAACATGATCCTGAGGCAAGATAAACGTGTCCTCAACATCCATGGCATCCAACCCAGCAACCTTTGCTTCATCCACATAGCAAGGGTGACATACACCCACTACAGGAGACTTGTTGTCGCCACTCAAAGCAGCGCAGCAAAGGTTGCATGTCTTGTAGGGGTCGGCAGCTTTCTCTACAGGCTTCTGCTGCGCACTGAGACGCCGTTCACACACAAAGCATTTCTGACAGTAAGCCGGGAGCGCAGACTTATTGGCTTCATCGATAGCTATCTTGCAGTCAACGCACTGGGGAGGCTTCGACGGTGCAGCGGAAGAAGACTGAGAAAAGCCTTTGACGTGCGACTGCGCCGCAGCAGCCAAAGAATGAAGAGCCTGCAGCTGCACAGGCTCCTCTGGATCTGTGGGAGGTGGTGGTAAAGGCGGCTCCATGGACGAAGCTTGCTGTCCTGCTAGAACAATACATTTCCAAACTTAAGGAAATACATGGAAATACAAAATTCTCATGGATCCTGGGCGAGAACC